TAAGTCTTTTCTTAAAAAAAAATAAAAAAAAAAATAAAAAAAATTACGATATTAGAAAGTTGTAAAAAAAAAAAAGGAAAGAAATCTTTTTCCTAAAATTATCCTTTCGTCCACTTAAACATCCTAACCCTCCGGCGAATATCGCCGTTCTATTATGTCGGAGGTCAGCCAATCTTCTTATTCCAATTCGGATTTGAATAAGATATATGTTTACAACGTGTGATTAAATAAAAAGCAGAAGAAACACACATACACAGACCAAGACAAGCTTCTGTATTTGAAAAGCCTCAACCATGATCCGGTGGTCCCATATTTCACCCTTGCATGAGCAAATAAAAATTCAACTATATTTATATTCATTTTACCCAGTTAAATTTAGCCCTTTTCTTCCTCTCCTTTCAGTCAATTGAACTTTGTCGACCATCGCTATCGCTAAAGTAAGGAAGAGTGGAGTTAATGAAAGGCTGCAATGCACGGTTTCCTCCGAATGGCTCGAAGGGAGAACCAAACCATAAGGGAGAACTAGGAGATTTGGAACTTTCTTATACTAAACTCAGTTGAGATAATGGTAATTGTGCCTATCCACAAACAAATAGAAAAATTATCCCAAGTTCTAACCTAATTAAAAGGAAAGAATATAGAAATCTAAATAGTGTTCATCATTCTCTAAGATAGCTCATAAATTTTGTTAGTAGGCTAAATATCAAGGGTGTAGCTTTTCAAATCATCACCACAATATATGTCAACACAAAAACAAAATTCAATGCATAGAAATAAAAAGCTCACAGGATCCGCCCACTTGGCCGCTATGGCCTCAGCAATCTTCCTCTTATGCTCGGCCGACTTGGGCGCCCGCATGTTCCCCTTAATCCTTGCCTTTGGTGCGCTTTTCTTCTGCTTAGTGCTCTTGAGCCACTCCCCGACGAATTCTTCGTTCAAGATTTGGTAAGAGTCCCATTGTAGTTCCTTCTCTCCTGAAAGGCCCCCTTTGGCAGCCAACGCAATTAGATTCTGCCACTCGTGGTGGCAAGTCTCTTGCACCATCAGCTTCTGGCGTCGCCTTTCCCAGCCGAGCCGGACCCCCACTCCAATTTTGATCTTTGTTTCCTTACTGTACAGATAAGGGCAAGAAGATGACAATGAGGTTATAAAATGCTTTATGTGCTCACAAAAAGAAAGAAGGAAGAATAGCATCCACTTTTAAGGAAGAGCGACAATTTGCACTTATGGGTTAATTACAAATGGTATGCTTGAGGTCTGACATTTACAAAGCAACCCATCAACTTTGAAAATAATGAAACAATGTTTAAGATTCTGTAATTCTATTACAACTTACATTTACACCCTTCATAAGCTAAAAAGCATTTTTATTTGTAACCCCTAAATTCTGATACTACACCTAACTTCAAAGTTACTCCATATCTAAAGAAGACATCTTGCAATTACCCCGAAATTCAAAGGAAGCAAAAGCTTATCCTACCTTCGAGGATCCCTCACTGTAAGAAGCTTCATCTTGACCTGTGTGGCCAAAGCTCATTAGTGCCTCTCTACAATTTTGGAAAATATTAAACTCAAAGAGATAGCAGATGTGGATTGATTTGACGGGGCAAAAAAATAATTGAAGCTCACAAGAAATATCTGAATAAGGTCAAAGAAGAAGAATCATAGCTGATGCAATCTTTAGTTATGTCCCCTTCAAAGATATATCTCGGGAATTTCAACAGAAACCAGCGGTAAGGTCATAGTTCTAAAGTGGTATCACATCTTCCCTCATATAGGTTTAAGTAAATCTTATTTTAGAACCACAAATGGCAGCAGCAAGTAGAGTTACAAAAGCTTACAAGCTTGCGCAAACGTTAAACAAAATTATATTTCAGAAGCATGCCTCACATATCACTGCTACAGTGCCAAGTGAGGTATTTTGAATAATTAAAAGGAATTTGATAAGGACAAGACAGGAAAGATCAGCAGAACCTCAATGATTCAAGAGACACAAGTAATCGAGAGATTTAGGAGAATGTCCTAGTTTCTTTCATTTGTCACCTTAGGATCTTGCATTGCTACCCAGGTTCTCTCTTTGATTTTCTGCAATGTTTCTGCACATGTTTAAAAGAAACTCTAAAATCTCAATACCACAAGGAAAAAATAAAAATAAAAATAAAAAAGAACACCACCACCATAACATTATAAGAAACTCTTGAACAAGATTAGCAATATTGGTTACTAGATATACCTGGGCTATGTTTCCTCCCTTTGTTCCATGCTCTTTTTCCTCTGTTTGCTTCCGAAATCTTCATCCGTCTCAACTTTTCCCTCTCATCCAGTTCTGTCCTCCCTTTATTCCATGGTGTTTTTCCTTTGTTCGCTTCTGAAATCTTCATCCTTCTCAACCTTTCCCTCTCATCCAGTTCTGTCGAATCTTCACTTGAAGATTCCATCTGGGAATCAGAGGAATTCGACCCAACTGAATCCATATCCATTCTCAACACACTTTGACAGCCTTTTGCACCGTTGTTCTTAGGCACACTCGTTGTTTCAAGTGTTGCAAATGCCTTTATCCTTAACATGCTCCACCGTACCTTATTTGTCTCCAAGGCATAATGCTTTCCCCATCGTTTCGCATCACAAACGGTTTTCCATGAAAATGCAGACGCCAAATGCAATCCTCTCTTCTCGCTGATTAAATATTTATTACCGGCATGGGACCTAATCGTTAATCTATTGTTGCTGTAACAAGACCACGGCTGTGAAATAGCAATATCTGCAAAAAAAACGAGTTAACATTTCATAGCTTCAGCACATTTCTCAAAATCTCCACAGCCTTCCTCTAGCAGTGAACAAA